ATGTCTCCGTGAACAGCGCAGACTAGTTTGTGCCCTTGTACAGCTTAAAAATGAGTAATAAGGGTGCAAAAGCCTTCAAAACTGACAGCAGGTGGCCGCGCTCTCAACAGAACCACTCTCAGCCGCTCTACTGGCAACAATGCGTCCTCATCGCGTTGTTCATGTGGATTGGTAGATTGTTATGCATGGTACAGAAAAGATCGCAACGATTGTGTGCTGAGGTCTGTTCCACTGATTACTATCGTGAAGTTGATAGCAGTTTGGAAAATTACCCAACACGCTCCTTTTCATGTCAGGCTCCACAGACTTATTTCCTTCTTTCTTACCCCTTCTAGAGACCATACCAAAGTGATCACGGCTTACCTTGGAGCAGGGTGTGCATCGCATGGCGCGATCCCATTGGCGTTGGTGCACAGGCCGTAATTACCACATCCTGCTGTGGCCGGACAACTCGTCCACGCAACACATTCTCCGTCTTGCCTTGGCATCAGGCCAGCGAAGCTATCCGCTCTTTTTTAAATCCTTGGGACTCAGCGAGATTTTTGAGACCCAAATTATCAGATCGATCAATTACAGAAGTCTGGTAGTTGAGTGATACGTCCTGCCACATGACCGCCCCCCCCCCTTAGAGCACGAATTTTCACCACAATGGAGGTCATACAGTTGAGCCATGAAAAAACTATAATGGGTTGCACACGTGGCAAATTGTAAGGAGACAGATGGACAGCAAGACGTGGATAAAAGCGCCCTGTGGGTCATTCGAAGATAAGAACATGCAACCCAATGATATTGTTATATGGGAATCAATGGACATGGGCAGCACAAGACAGACAAAGATGGAAATGTTCCGATTTGCAAACATGAAGGAATGTTTGAAGACAAATAGTGTAAGAGGTAAAAGGTGAAAAGCAGAGGACGTCTTACCTTCGCAGAAAATCCAATTAAGGCGATATCATTAATGTTGATCACAGGAATTGCGAGGTTTTTCTTCACGAAATTTTCAAGGTCTTGATTGGGAAGACCTATCACATATACGGTTGCACAGAAGTATATCATGAGAATGCTGTTGATAATAGAACCCGCCACCACCGTCTTCATAGCAGAAATACGATGAAAAAGCTGATTTCTGAATGTGTTTGTTCTTCCTAGTTGTTTGGGCTTGGAACACTTAGTCGATCTTTCTCACCTGCACAAAAGTACATAGCGATAAATGAAGCTGTTAGTCAGTATTAGTGTCGACGTAAAAAAGGATACACAAAAGGCCATGAGCAGGATGGATCCGAAAGGTTGATGGCTGAGCACACCGGTCGCAATCACTGTGTAAATATAGTCCTGGGAGACAACTCGCTGAAAGCAAAGAGTATTATCAACGCACAATTATTTCTCTTACTTCAATGGGAATTTTACTATTTTTTTAATTTTTTATTTAAAATTTTATTGAACGAACATTCAAGAACATCGAGGGAGTAGTGAAGAAGACGAAGAACATCCGGCTCCGTGCCCACCTCTTCGATTCCGCTGTCCTTCCTGCCCTAACCTACGCCTCAGAGACTTGGACTCTGCGCAGGCAGGACGAGCATGCGGTCAGCGTTATCCAACGCGCTGTCGAGAGGACGATGCTAGGAGTAACCCTATACACGCAAGTGCAGAGGGGAATCCGGAGTGCCGAACTACGCCAACGATCGAAGATCAGGGACGCTGCCGTTTTCGCCAAGGAATCGAAGATAAGGTGGGCCGGACACGTCATGCGATTTTGCGATGACCGTTGGACCAGAGCGGTTACCGACTGGATCCCTCGGGACGTCAAACGAACACCTGGACGACCGCCGGCCCGATGGTCAGACTTCTTCACGAAAGCTCTGAACGAAAGGAATGAAGGACATCGTGTCCCTCGAGCGAGGAGGGTCCACTGGACAACTCTTGCACGCGACAGGGACGAATGGAGACGTTGCTGGCGCCCGCTCGAGCAATTCGATGATCAACGGGACGACAGGTGATACAGGTGATTCAATGGGAACAAAAAACCCTCATTCTCAGTCTATTTTGGCATTCTCACTACTTAACTTAAAAGGATATCTTTACAGTATGACTGCTACTGTACACAAATGAATTTTGCTTTATGAAAGTGAGTAGTCAAAAGATAAGCAACTTGATCTAATCTCTTGTTTGGAAAATATTCCCACATTTTCCAGAGGTTTTGTAGAAAACACTGGAGAAAATTTCTCTTAACATAGTTTGCATTTACTGAAAGTTTAAAGGCATGCCTTTGGATCAGTTAGTGTGGCTCTTGCACCACAAATGCGAAAACGCATGGTGCGAAAATGGGGCTGGCAGTAAAGAAAAAAGGAAAAGAATCCGTCGAAAACGCTCAGGTTGAGGGCTCACTCACCTTCCTAATCGGCTGTGCTAAAGGAATGAGAGACTAAGCGCGGAGAGGAGAGTATGAGGCGAGAGAGCGCTACAGATGAGAGAGCGCCAGACAACAGCCTGATAAGAGAAAAATCTGCAGCTTCAGCAGCTTACTTTGCAAGGCCCAAGCGCTCTTGTCGGTTGGTTTCCGTGCACGGGAACGCCACATTTGTGATTGTCCTCTAGGGGTCTATACTACAGACCGAAGAGAAGCGTTCACACGACCTCTGCCTGGGTTGTGCCTTCAAACATTGCCTTCACTACTGTTGACCCTTTCGTTCCAAAATCTGAGTTTTGAGTTTCAATAGCGCCACACCAAGCATGAATAGGAGGTGAGCTTATCTCCAGTTTGGACTTGCCACAGCTTGGGGAACTTTCGTTAAACTTTGAGCATTGCCTATGGTTAATAGTGAAGCTTCCTACCGGCAGTGAAAGAAGAAAAACCAGCGTGAATATGATGTCGTGAATAGCGGTGAATAGGAAAAAATATTTGTACGACTTTATTTTTGTCAGCGGACAACGGTAATAGATGATGATGAAGATCAAATTGCCGAGCAGGGAAAACACCGAAATCAAATAGACAATGAAAGGCATCAGTTCGTCCATAGAGATTTTTCAAACTGAGCATCTAATAATGGGTGAATTGACAACTGCTTTGACGTCTGAGCGTAATTGGTAGTTATGTACAGACACACCGTAACAACATGCTTTTTTGCTATAATCGTGATCTATGGAAAAGTCTCAAATTTGCGACAAAACAGCGAAACACTGGAATTTTCGAATACGTAAGATTACAATGAATCATGAAATCCCTTCAAGATAGTCTGTGAATATTTTCTTTGCCTCAAAATATATTCGCCTAGCTGTTGGAAACATTCGAGCCACATTTCGTAAAGGGTCAGAGGTTATATAATCATGCAAGATACTGCAACCACACCTTATCAAACCCATCACTTTCCAGTTGTCTTGAACCCGTTACCATTGTCGCCTCATCGCTGGGCTAGGGATCGGATTATTAGGGGTAGGTAATACCTAGCATCTGTATCATCCATATCAAATCTGATGCTGAGTTTCATGTAAGCCCAAGTGTTCAGAGTGATTTTCCCTAACACCACCAACCCCCACATTACTGCTCAGCCATCGGCCATGTTCGGTAGGGTGCTTTAGAAATTGTTATTGTTTATGGCTACTGTGTTACTATTAGTTTGCCACACTATCACTGTATATCAGTTCATGTGTTGCCCACTTTTTTTCCTCTTTTTGACTGCATTGCCGGCTAACTTCTGAAACCATGATAAAGGTTGACGACGAGACAGCTCGGGTGGGCGCAGCCTTCTTCAATCACAAAGCGATTTTTCTCGGATCTTATGGAAGAGGACCACGGGCAAATAGAGGCGAGTACAACACAAACACAAGTATGAACACAAATTAATGGTAGTGGAACCGCTAACTTTTGCCTGCGGTCTTCTTATAACAAGAAACTGAAGTGTCTTAGCCATAAAACTTCTTTAAAAGCTCAGCTTCAGTGGCCATGGAGCCGACCAGACCGCTTCCGAAAAGGTGCTTCCAATTTGCTGGCACAGAGGTGAGATATGAACTAGATATGCTGTGGCATGTGGACTTCAGCAACGTTGGCGGACCTACTACGATGGTATCCGGAGTTCTCATTCACGCCCGTGAGAACTTGCAGTGTTGGCGGCCCACTGCCCTTCTGCGCTGTCCTTCACTCCACTGCCGGCGGCCTCCTCTCCCCCTTTTTTTATTTATACAACTAGCTCACACTACAACTATTTTGAACACTTGTTGATGTTCATTGGATGAGTTCCTTGATGTTCTTTCTATCGGTACTTGAGTTTTATTTTATAAGCCACCCTTGTTATAACGTTGAACTGATTATAATAAATATAAATATAAACTCCAGATCTATGTGTTTCGAGACTTCTGCAAAGCGATTTGTAGAATTTCAAGCATAACAATTTAACAAATTTTGTTTATTTCACCAGGGCTAAGAGTGACTAATGCAAAGCTGGTTTCTTGCACACATATGCCCTCATAGCGTCACTGCAATAGTAGTCATTCCATTTCTGGAACTGAGTATCTTTCACTGGGTCGGTTCCTTCCTGATCACTGTAGATCTGCAAATATGAAGTCGATTTTTCGATTTTAATACATAGTGTCTTTTGTAAGGATGTCCCAGTAATCTCCAAATCTTCTCCTTCGCAGAACTTTGGCTTCATTGTTAGTTTAGTGATTGCCTCCTGCCAACGAGGTTTTCAGGTAGAAAACCTTATTATATTTTGGACAGTAGTTTTGACCAGGTTTTCCGCTCCAGAGGCACAGCATGCCATTGCAGGAGCGGAATAACGCCACTCTGTCACGTAACTAAAATGGAGCAGCGCTAATCCACTTTTGCCGTGGTAGACTTTGTCATGAAGGTTGGATGACATAGCCGAGAGGTCG